TCTAGTTGCTTTGATTTCATGCTTTTTGCATTGCATTCGGCATGTGATTTTCGCTTCGCTTCCGCTCCCAGCTTGGCTGTTGCTTCGGCCGTGGGTGGGTGTGGGACTGTGCACTGTCCTTCCAATTCGTCTGGCCCTCAGCTTTGCTTTGCTCAGTGAGTGAGTCTTTGGCTTCGCTTGCTTCGGCGGCTTGCTTCATTGAGCTGCTTGCTGCAGCATTCTTTTGCGTCAAAGATTTCCAACAGCTTGCTGCTTTAGCTCCTCCTGACTTGCGGTCAGAATGTCGGATGCTTTGGCGACCAATCTTCTCATTGCGCTTCTCCAGGAACGCGGGTTCAATGCTGTGCCAGCTGTTACTCAGCAGGCCGCCGATGCAGCATCACCGCCAGATGCAGCTGGCCCTGCTTTGGGAGCTGCAGATGCTCCGGCTTCGGCTAAGGCTCCCCCACCTTCTGTGGTGAATGCTGAGGCCCCGCCGCCTCCGGTTCCAGACTCAGTCTCGGACACGGTGGACCCCCCCGGTGGTTGAGCCTGCTTTGCCTGCAGAGTCAGCGGTGGGGCAGCCTGCTGTGACTGCTGAGTCACCTTCGGAGCCTCTTGCTGTGGATCCCGTGGACCCTGCTTTGTCCATGCAGGTCTGGGGGGTGCCCCTCGAGACGTACGACAATTGGCTTGGGTACTCCATGCACGACTGGCTGGAGTTCTGGAGCTTTCAAGCTCCAGGACTCCAGCCGCCTGAGATGAGAGATGCTTTATTTTGGGGGAGGTACCACAGGTCGGTTGCATCTCAGACGGGTGCGGCTCCTGCTTCTCAGTCTTCCGATGGTGATGGTGGGGCATCGCAATCGGTGCCAGCTCCTGCTGTCGATCCTCCTGCTGGTGATGGCGTGGACAGCTACTTGGGCGACCCCTGGCAGGGGTATAGGGGACTTGACGCTACCAAAGGAACGGCCCCAGACCCTGCCGGGGACGCACTTTGGCTCTGGTACTTCTCCTGCTTTGGATCCAGCCACTTCTGGAGCGCAGACGGTGGGCGATCAGGGGCGCGCTTCGGCCACGGACCCTGGACCTGCTGCTGCTGCTGATTCCACCGGCAAAGATCATGCTTTTGCTGCCTCTTCGGGGGACGGCGCTCCTGGCGGTCAGGACCAGGGTGGCAATGCCGACTCTGCGCAGCCTGCTGTGGATGAGCCGCCGGAGCCACACTTTGAGATGATCTATCGTTGTCGATCCAAGTGCATGGACTGCCAGTCTGCTTTTTGCGGTAAGTCAGCTCCCTCGTACAACGCGGCGAAGTTTCACCCCCACCACCGCTGTCGCTACTGTTGGGCGACGTTTAAGGCGAACAACTTGTAAATCTCCGCTCTAGTGCTGCTTTATTTTGTGGGTTTCATGCTTTAGCCTGGTATACAGTTATTCGCCTTAACTTTTCAGCCATTGCTTTGATCGTGGCAGCTTATTGCTGCTCTTGCTCCTTTTGTCGCAAGACCGTGAGCCCTATGCTTTCTGCAGCACAAATCCCATTTCTTGCCTTGTGGGCTTTGAGACAGCTGTGCACTCTTCTGCTCTCAGGTCAAACACTGCTGGCCTCGAGGTGGGACTTCCTTTGCACTGCTTTAGCCGTCTGTCTCGCCCCGTGCAGGATGGCTTCAGGTGCCGTTTCTTTCAAGGATCGCCTGCTTTCTGGCGAGGTGCCCGAGGCTGTGGCTGATGCTTTAGTGGATGCAGGCCTCTCTGACCGCCTGTTCTCAGCACTTGTTGTGAAAGTGGAAGATTTGGAGACTGCTTTGGATCAATGGGTGCCGGCCGCGCTCTTGACAGCGGACCCTGCGGCAGTGCCTGCTTTGCGATTGCTTTGGCTTGAGAATTGCCACGCTTCCTTGCGTCCGCAATCTTCGGGCAGCTTCCCCCCGAGCCCTCCTACAGGTGGCTTAGGTGCATCACCGGAGGGTACGACCCCTGGATCTTGGGCCGAGACCTTTGCGCCCAAGCTTTCTCCAACGAAGGTCAAAGAGATGCGGGATGCTTTTGTTGTACAATACCCTAGCGAGCTTTTGGATCCAGATCTGATGCCATCCATTCGCTTGCTTTCTCACGTCTACAAGCAGACATGCACCAAGGAGTTTGCTTTTGTACCTTGGAAGTTTCGCATGTCGGTCAAGTTGCACGAGGAGCAGCAGATGGCCAAACCGGCAAAGCGAGCTCGCTCGGAGCTTTCGGACTTGCTTTTTGATGACGTGCCTACGAGGGACATTCCTTCGTCGGGTGGAATGGGGATGTATCATTGTCAACAAATCCTTGGCCTGCTTTCTACTGCTTTGGCCTTGTGCGAGGCTGCGCACCTGCACACCTTGCGAAGCTACGAGCGCGCCTTCATGCGCTTTGCTTTCGCGAAGGTCGGTGCGGATTCCGGCCTCTCTTGGCCGTGGCCTTCGACACTGGATCGTACCCAGTGACGGAGTAGGCCGTCGCATTCCAGCTGACTAGAGCCATCCATGACCATCGACATACGTCGTAGGGTCCATTTCCTGGCTCTTGCCGCTGGTTGTGGGTTCCACCGTGGACTTGTGGACTTTGTGTGCACGATCGCGACGCAACAGGACCCCGGGGCTGACCGTTGTTCGACGGAACTAGAACGGCGGCCGGAGCTCCGACTTTGGGTTCCACCGGTGGTCTTGGACAGCTCCAGGCGACGGCCTTTAGCTGTTGTGGATCGGTCGCTGAGGCCCCGTAGCTCGTGCTGAACGGCCAACACCGGCAAAGCCTGTGCGCCGCAGCTAGCTTTTTGCCTCTTTTTATCGAGCCGCCCTGTTTCACAGCTGTTTTTGTTCGTTTGTTGGTTTGTCTAGTTTGTAGGGACCGGGTGCTACAGCTGTAGTCGACGAGGCCCGCCCACGCCAAAAAAAACTGCTGTGTATGCTTGTAGATGTCGCCTTTCCAGCAAGCAATATCATACTTATCATACTTCCATCGTCAACGTATTGTGGGTGTGGTACCCAGATTCCTTGGACCAGCGGCCAGCGGTCAAACCGAAGGTTGCAGAACAGAGTAAAGAGGTCAGTACTTGTTTGCATTTCGTGAGGACAGCTAGGAGGAGCACAGCCATGGCAAGGATTCCAGTGCCCATGCGCAAGTGTCGCCATGTGCTTGCGCTGTCAGCATTTGGCTTGTGGGCAATGCCAGCATGGTGCCTGCCAGCATTACGCCTGCCAGAGCCTAAGAACAGCGCTGCTCAGCCTCCCATTTGCGCAATGCTGCAGACCTTACAGGCGAGCAACGCAGACAGCACGCGCTGCGAACGCAGCAGGGAGCCGAGACCGAGAGAAAGTTCGGCCTTTAGCTTTTGCCCGGAGAAGCCCAGGCTGATGCCGTGGAGCTACCTCGCAAAAAAGTCTTTCAACGAGAAGAAGTGATCTACTTCTTAAGCTCCAAGGAGCAGACCATCCGCTCCAAGGGCGAAACCATCCGCTCCATGCACCCCTTGTCCCTGCAGGCAGCCTGGATTAGACCCCATCCCTGTGTCGCTGCTTGTTCCTGTCTGCGAGCGCGACCTTCCTTTCGTTCTGGCAGGAGATCTCAACGTGGGCTTTGACCACGACCTCCCGGATATTCTGTCGGGGCCTTCTGTCGCAGAGCCACTATGGGACCTGTCAGGACGACGTCGCCGCGCATCCGAGGCTGCAGGCATGTTGGCACGTTTCCAAGCAGTGCTGCAGTGCTTGATTTGTTTGCAGTGAGTGGGCATTGGAGTGCTGTTGAGTTCATGTCTTGCACCGTGCCACTCACGCCGTTTCCGCATGTTGGTGATCATCGTTCTGTCCAGTTGTGCATTCCAGCTGTATGGGGTCAGAAACCTATTGATTGAGGGAGACTCGGCGAGCCACCAGCTCCTGGTGCGGGGTTTGGTCGGAGTCGCACTTGGCTTGTGTCAGTTTTGAAGAAAGTAGTTAACCGTACTCGAGCCCCACGTACTTGCATGATGTAGCTAAGATCGTACTACAAGAGGTAGATGAAGAGCAGCTTGAACGACGCACACGAACCTGTTTGGCTCAAGTAGAAGAAGTGCTTTGTGTGCTTGCTTTTGCTTGTCTTGTAACACGACGGGTTTACTTCGTGTTCAACTGGTTAACAGCCTCAGCATTTCATATCATTCACTGTGGTCGTCTAGGGAGAGTCTAGGACCCCTGCGAGCCATAGTGCCCCGCGTGCAGGCCTAGTGTCTGTGCATTCCATATCTGAAAGCAACTAGCGAGGTTGCGTGAAATCGGTTCGCCGTAGGTCTAGTGAGAGACCTGCCCATCCTCCATACCACTTTCCATATCCTGCGCTGTCAATCTCCTGGGGTTAGAGCCAGAACCCTACAGTTGAGATCCCAACCAGCGCCCGCATCGCAGCCTGGTTTTGCACATTATCTGTGAGGTCCAAATCTGCTGCGTGCTTCGCCTGCTTGCTCAGGCATCCGCGTGGTAACCTTCTTCGGGTTTTCTAAAGCCCCGCCTTAGCACCTCTCCCGTAGTCCCGTTCACGGACAAAGGAGGCCAGGCCTTGTGGTGCGACAGGCGATCCAGTAGAGCTCAGAACAGAACCGCAACGAGTCAGGAGTGAGATTGCATCCCAGCAACCCTCCTGTAAGAGTTCAGCTGAGATCAGAGGTTGATTGAGATTTCTGGTTTGGGTTAGCGTGGGTGTTTCCCGTGCTCGGCCTTCGAACCGCTTCCTCAGTCCCTCATCCCAGCTGTAGACTGCCTCGGCAGCACAGCACAACAGCCAAAGGCAAACACAGAATCAATTCCACATCCCTTCGGCTCTCAGTCTGCCAGCCAGGGGGTTTTCCTAGTTGACAGTTGTTCATCTGGGTTATCTGTGGGTAATCAAGGAGGTTATCCGGATTGAGCTTCCAGAGGCAAGGCATTGAGGCGTGCTTACGCAGCCAACGGGGGATAATTGAGTAGGGCCTCGAGGCGAGCCTTACAGCGGTTTCCCTTTTAAGTCGTCACTGCATGCCAGCTGCTCCAGCCGATACTCCAGAAGCTCGATTTGCGTTGCAAGCCGCTCTCCTTCTCCACGAGACAAAGAGAGGTGGCGGCGGGTCAAGCGGACGTGCCAGACGATCGCTTCACATTAAAATCGTCTCTGGATTTGCGGTGGAGCTGAGGTCACTTGCTGTCCTGTCTGAGCCAGACAGGCATAATCTTCAAGTGGCCGAGGAATACATTGAGTGGCTGGAACACAACACGCCTGATCGTGGGGCGGGTCTCCCTGTTTTCTTGAATTCACCTGGCCCTACGCTCTTCCCGCGGGTTCATTCTGTTCCTCCAGCGGTACCTGCTAGCCCTTCTTCTGTTTCCACTCCGCCTTCGCCTTCGGTACGTGCCTTGGGTACTGATCCGGAAAGGGTTGCGGGATCTTCAGGGCTAGAGGCTTCCGGGTCGATAAGTGTTCTTCCGAGTGGGAGAAGGTTGCCGCCCCAACCTCCTGTTCCAAAAGCTAAAACAGGAATCCCGCCATCTACTGCACCAAACGTTGGACCATATCTAACGCTCGGACAGCGAGCAGCGGTTATCTCACCTAACAATCCGTTGCTTCGCGTGCGGTCGAGATCTCCACCACGGTCTTCGAGCAGCGGGGTTGGACCCGGGAGGGAGCGCGAGGCGGCCGAACATCTTGCGAATCCACTTGAAATCGCCGCGGATCCAGCCGAGGAGGCTGCCGAGGAGATTCTTGAGCCAGCCGAGGAGGCTGCCGAGGAGATTCTTGAGCCAGCCGAGGAGGCTGCCGAGGAGATTCTTGAATCAGCCGAGGAGGCTGCTGAGGAGACTCTTGATACAGGCGTGTCATCGGCGAGCGGGGCTGTACCCGAGTTGAGGTTCCGGCCTGTGGCGCGGCAGGTGACTTCGCTTAAGGTTGCGGAGGGGTTGCTTCCGCCGGGTACTTCGGTGCTGCTGTCATTGGACATTCATTTGGTCGCTGACCGTAGTGAGGCAGGAACATCTGCGTGCCTTGAGGATCTTGCGAGAGCACTCGAATTTGGCTGTTATTTTCTGCTCGTACGCGGTGAAGCAAAAGACCATTGATAAGGCGGTCCAGTGTATCCACCGAATTTGTGATCAGACGATTGTGCGGCGCCCTTTGACCTTTCCCATTTTCTTCACGACATCCAAGACTGCGCCGGGCACAGGCAAAGGAGCACGATTGTCTAATTTGGCGGATATCTTTAGCCGATCGCGCCCCACTCCACTGACTTATCTGTATCACGTGGACGACCAAGATCCGATCAGTAAGAACGTGACATCCTACGGCCATCACGGTGTGACGTGGGCGGAGGAGGGCCCGCGTTCTCTGGATCAGATCGTGTGGGAGCTCTGTTGGCTCTAGCCGCCGACTGCCAAAACAGAAAGGCAGAGGAAGACTGCAGACGCAGCTCCTCGGGTGTGGGTTTTGTTGAGGGTCGACTTGGAAGGTTGGGGTGAAGTATTTTTACAACCCTTAGACCTCGGTTGGACCACAATCTCAACCATGCCATTAGCATCACAACTGGGATTCGAGGAATCTTCATTGGAAATTTCATCGTCAAGCACACCCCCTAGGGCTCCAGCACTTAGCGTGCGCCCGGAGGCAGCTAGACAGTCGGATTCATCAAGTTCGGGGCCGATTCGGAGGAACCGGGCTAGATCATTGTCGTATGGACCCGCGTCGAGGTCTTCATCCCTGCAACCGGCACCAACCTTTGCAGCGAATGTTGGCCCTGCCCATAGTCAGAACCCAACCGGCCCGAACACGAGCCATCAGGAGTTGCACTTGCATCAACATGCCCATCGGCAGCAGGTCCTTCAGGTTGGGGTTGACTCGGTAACCCATGCGAACATGCAATCCGAAGCAACAACTGCCATCATGAACGCCAGAGCTGAGACAGCAGCCGTGTTTGGTGAAGCCGAAGCAGTGATTCAGTCTCTAAGATCAGAGAACCAACAGCTAGGCGCCCAGGCCGTTGCGATTCAGGGTGAGTCGTATGCCACCATACAGGCGCTAAGGACCGAAAACCAGCAGTTGGGTTCACGCGCTTCGGTGATTCAGGGTGAAGCTGAAACGGTGATCGGAAACCTCCGAACTGAGAATCAACAGTTAGGGGAGATGAACCGTGAGCTCAACCAGAGGCTCGAAAAGCAAGCTAAGATGATCCTTGAGCAGCAAGAGTTATCTAAGGCTATGCATCAACAGCTAATCGCACTTCAATCGCATGTGCAAGCTGCCGAACCAAAGAACCCAAGCATCCCTTCATCAGCTTTCCCCGCGAGCTCTACCCAAAATGGCGCGGATCAGGCTGCGTCTGCATTCAACGCATTGCAGGCACTCGCGGGTGAAGTTGGGGGAACAATGCGAAGGATTGAACAAGCAATTGAGGTAGCCCTTAGTCCCAAAGCCAAAGCAAAGAAGCAGAAAGCTAAAGCCGAGGCTACTGCTAGGGCCATTGCACCATCAGTTGCGCTGCCAATCCCCGCTAAGGCTTCCGGTTCTAGTGGTTTCGTTGCTTCGGGTCCGGTTGAGTTTGGGGTGCCACCGTACCAATGCAGTCGTAAGAGCATCTTCACGGGTAGATTGCATTCCGCAACACCCGCACCACCTCCTCCTCCATCACATTCTGCACCGCAGAAGCTCAAGCCACAAGTCCTCGACATAGCAGATGAAGATGACTTTGATGAGCATGGTGAAGATGAGGATGATAAGGGCGGAGAAGATTTTGAGGATGATCCAATCATCCCGGTTGCGGCTCACGAGCCCGAGGATGACAGAGATTACGAGTCTAGCATTTACAAGTACAAAGACCTGAAAGACATCAAGCTTCCCAAATTCCGGATTCTAGCGTTGAGTTCAGGGCTTACCGCAATTCGGTGTTAACACAGATCGCGTCAATAGATTGCAGCGGCAAAGCCGTCCTGTTGAAGTGGCTTCAAAAGAGCTTAGATCCATCAGGTAGCATTGCATTGACACGGTCGCTCCAGCGGGATTGTGAGGGTTTGCCTAGACTTGATGGGTGGATCTCCGCATGCATCAGTGATGCGAAACACCTAAAAGGTGAATGGGGATTGCAAGCGCAGTCGTACTTGGAAAGGTGTCATGCGTCTGGAACGATGCCATCGGGTCGTGCACTCTTGTCCATTCTTAGCAGAAGATACCGGATAGATAAAGTGCGCGGGCCATTAGTGACACTACAATCCTTGTTCGATTTAGAACCTGACTCATTCTCCTACCAATCGCTTGTAGCCTTCAAACAACGCGTCGAGTACGTGTTGAACGGCTTACCGGAGCGGCAATGGCCAGACGCCGAAACAATGTTTTCCTGGATCTATTCACGGCTAAAGGGTTGCAGGATGCTTTCACGCACCATTGATCGGGTCAAAGATGCCAAGCCGGGTTCCAAGCGTAGGACATTTGAGTACATTTGGAATGGGCTCGAAGAGGTTCTTGCAGAAGTGCGCGAGGATCGAAATGAGCAAGCGCTAAAGGATTCGCTCAAGGAGGATTCCAAACAGAAGCAGAAACCAGATGCCAACGCGAAAGCGGCCGCGGCTAAGGCTACGCCCGCCGCTCCTGCTGCAAAGGCAAATGCAAAGGCTAAGGCCAAAGGCCAAGGCAATGATAAGCCCCCGAAGGCCCCGAGCAAAGCAACTCCAGGAGTCCCCGACACCAATCGTGGTGCCGGTGAGGGTGCCGATAAGGACAAAGGCAAAGGTAAAGGGAAAGGCGGGGGTAAGGATGGCAAAACTAAGCCTCAGAAACCTCCAGCTGCAAAGGATTCGTCAGCAGGACAATCCGGCCAAAGGCCAGCGTGCTTCTTCTACCCAAAGGGAACATGCACTAGGGGAAAGGATTGCCCTTTTGAGCATGTAGATGCACCAAAGAAAGCTGCTCCATCAAAGGCCGCCCCAAAGGTGCCTGCCGGAGTCGCCGTGTTAGCAGCCGCGTCGACGGGCGCGAGCGCATGCAACATCCCTTCATCATTTGTCCGCGGTTTCAAAGCCACATGTCGCTTGATCACCGCTCCCTTTCGTGTGTTTGCCCGCTTCGCGGCAGCACTTTCATTTGCGTTGCCCGCAACTGTGCATCATTCGCATGAACGCATTGCCGCGACAGTCAGTAGACCTAACTGTTCAGGGGGGTCGTACTTCCTTGATTGGGTTGCTGACTCTGGGGCAGGGAGAAGCCTGCTAAGCCAGTCCGCACTTGCAGATCAGGGCATTTTGACTGACACGTTCAGTGATCACATCCAGTCAACAAAGCCGTTGCAGTTTGAGACCGGGAATGGGGTTACGAGTAGTGGCACCTTCCTTACTACAACGAGCGATGCCTTTGGATCAGTAGAGTCCTATGTTCTGCAAAGCTGCCCGGTAGTGCGGTCTTTAGGCCAACTAGTAGAGTTGCAGCGAAAACCTTTTGTTTGGCTTCCTGGTAGCATGCCGTTCTTCGGTACCAATGAAGATTGCATCCAGATCACTTGGGATTCGGATCGAGTCATCTATGCCCATAAGGTTGATGATTATGTTCCGGTATTTCGTGAGCAGATCAGGTTTGGTGGCGACGGTTTGCATAGGGCCTTAGCCGCTGGTGAGTCTGCCCCGGCAGCCCCAGCAGAGGTTCCTGCACCCGCCGTCCCAGCAGAGGCCCCTCCTCTCCCAGCTCCCGCAGCGCCCCCCTGATCCAGGGGAAGGTTCTGGTGCTGACGATGAGGGTGATGAGGATGCACCAACCAAGGCTCAGCGGCTAATCACTGAAGCCCAGAGTCTAGAGCATCGCTTAACGCATATGCCAAAGAACCCATACTGTGATGTTTGCAGTCGGAGCCGAATGCTAAAGAAGCGAACGGCAAGGACGCGATATGCAAGGTGTGATGATGAGCTAGATCCGGTTGAAGAGTTCGGCCAACGGATAGCGGCTGATTTCATCATCGTGCACAAAGACTCTAGAAGCACTGAGACCGTCGTTCTGACGGTGAGGGATGAGGCCACAGGGTACATAAGAACATTCCCGTTAGTGTCCAGGCACGAAGACGGAGTGGTACGATCCTTGTTATCCTTCCTCGGTAGGCGCGCTTCTGGACCTTGTGTATTGTTTAAAAGCGACAATGCACGGGAGCTCCTCGCCGCATGTGCGACGTTGGGGTTTACTTCAGAACCAAGCCTTGAGCGGAGATGGCCTCACAACTCAGTTCTTGAACGGGAAATCCGGACAATCGAGGAGTGTTCAAGAGCTCTCCACATTGCGGCAGGTTTTCAGCTGCATTCGGGTCTTTGGGTCCACACTGTTCGGTATGCGGCACACACCATTAACCTTTTCCACCCTGCGGTTGGGATTGAGGGTAGCCGGTATGCGAACGCGACGGGATCCGAGTTTGGTGGCATGAAACTACAACTTGGTCAGTTAGTCTATTACAGACTTGACCCGGCACATCGTGAAAAGTTTCAGGCATCAGCAGCGCCAGGTGTCTTCGCAGGTTGGAGGTTCGACCGCGGTCCATCATCTTTCAGAGAAGTCTATTATGTGTTGGACTATGGTAAGCTAAAGAACCGTGAACCGGGGTACGAGAAGGCGATCTCCGTCCCTAGAGAGGAGATACACGTTCCCCGCGGTAATCCCATCCTTCCGATGTTCACCGCTGCAGAAGCTGCTTTGTCCAGTTTCACGAAAGCCGAGTATGAAGCCATCGAATTCCTTGATGTGCCGTTCAGCACGGTCGCGCCGTCAACACCTGTGGCCAAGCGTCACGAGTACATCACTTTAGATAGGCTCATGCGACTAGGCGCAACACCTGGTTGTAAAGCCTGCAAGTTCGATGGAACAGTACACACGCCAGTATGTAAGGCAAGATTCGATGGTTTGATTAAAGCCGAGAAGATTGCCGCGAGCAAGTCAGTCAGAGACGCGGCACCGCCCGATGTCGAGCGCCCTGATCCTTCGGCGGAGTCTGCACCCGCAGCCCCCGAGGGTGACGAGGATGCTCCAGAGCGCGCGAGCTCCTCTGCTGGCCCACGAGCTCCAGCTGGTGTTGTAGTTCAGCCTTCCGAAAGCAAAGTTTCAACAGGTGAGTTTGGTTTGAGTGCAAGGTTTCTCGCAAACGAGAGAGCGCGCAACAACACCAGAAGGGTTAAGGAACTTCCAGGGGAAAATGTTCTGATCGAGTATGGTTGTGAAGATGAGTCTGAGATAAGAGATGCTTGTGAACGTTGTAAGGTAGGTTCATTGTGTTAGTCTTTCCCAGTCAACGCTGGACTTGACTTCGCAGGATGACATGCAACAAGTCGTTTCCCAAGCAATCCCAGGTGTAGATGCTTGGTTCACCATACCTTGCACGCATATGTCTTCGCATCAAGCCGTACATC